TCTTCCAACTACAATTACATCATCCAAATAAACCAGACATGTTTTCCATGTTAGACCTCTTAAAACTGCCTCCATTATTCTTTCAAATGTGGCCGGAGCATTACATAAACCAAAGGGCATAACTGTGAATTGCCAAAACCCTGATCCTATCGAGAATGCGGTTTTCTCACGATCAGCTGGCTCCACGTCTACTTGCTAATATCCACTTTTCAGATCGAGTGTGGAGAACCAACGAGAACCAGAAAGTGCATCCAAAGTATCGTCTATTCTGGGCAAAGGATAACTATCTTTTTTAGTTACCGTATTGAGCTGTCGGTAGTCAATACAAAAACGTGTTGAACCATCTTTCATCTTTACTAGCACTACTGGTGATGTCCATGGACTGTTTGATGGTTCAATTACCCCTTGTTTGTTCATATCTTTGATGATGTTTTCGGCTTCATCTCTTTTCGCAAATGGAAGTCGTCTAGGTTGCTGTTTGATTGGCTGAGCGTCTCCGGTATTAATTTTAGGCTTTACTATGCTTGTTTTGCCATTATCCTTCTTATCAATGTCAAAAACATCTTGAAATTCTATCAGCATAGACTTCACTTTTTTAGTTCGTTTATCATCAAGATCTTGGCACGTTTTAATCATCGTCTCAACAAGCTCCTTTGGATACTTAGATTTCGATGGTTTCTCATTAGTACTCATGAACAAATCAAAGCCACGGGAACACACTGTCCGATCAAAGTTCTTTTACTTAAGTTAATAGCAGTTCCCTTTAAATTCATAACTCTTACAGGAACGACATCTCGAATTCTCACCAAAAGCTTTTGCCGTTAGGAACTCGGCACTGTTCACATCTTCGACCATCCTTAAACTTCCCTCTCGGCAGTAACCATCAGGTCTGGTCATCAAAATTTTCTCACTATTACCGGGTATTGTTACGTCACAAGTAGTTATTAAGCTGACCACATCTTCTTTGTCTTCATGAAACGGCAACTCTTCACCACTGATCTCGAGAACTCCATCTTTGACATTCAATACAGCCCCAAATTTCCGTAGTAAATCCATCCCCAATATGAACTCGTCGGAGATCTCTGCAATTAATACTCGATGTTTCACTGTGGTGTGGCCAATGGATACTGACATATTAGCCTCGCCATATGTAGACTGTTGCAGGCGATAATTTAAGATGGTCTCTTACTACTTCTGGCCGTGCAATAGTTCTTGTTGCACCTGTATCTACCAAAAACGATCTACATTTATTATTAATACGACCCTCGATGTATAAGCTATGAATTCCACCGGCGGACGTAATGTTCACTGTTACTATGGGGGCTGTGTTTCTCGAGGTCGGCAGTTGCCCCTTGGTGTCGATCCGTTTTAGTTTTCCGACTGTTGTATCATTTTCTTGCAATTACGGCGAATGTGACCTACGTCACTACAATTCCAACATCTTGGCTCGCGTCTCTTTGGCATCGTGTTACGAACTACTTTTCGTACCATTTCTTCCAGACGTTCATCGTTTGGTTCGTCGCTTTCTTCAGTGGTTCTTTACTCGATGGCTCCGTGAAGTTTTGACTAGCTGTTTACTGTTCCAAAGCAATAACGAGCGCTTCATCTAGAACTTTCGGTCTTGCTAGTCGTAAAGCTTTCAGTAATTCACTTTCTTTTAACCCATTGACGAAGGTATCTACAGCAATTTCTTTCAAAATGTTGTCTAGTACCTCCGGATAAGCCAACCGCACTAAACGAGCAACATCTGCTTCAAACTCTTGCAAATTTTCACTTGCTCGTTGAATTCTACTTCTTAGTTGCGCCTTGTAGACTTGTTGTAGGTGGGCATCTCCGTAACGTTTGTCTAGTCGAGTGAACAAGGTCTGGTAACATTTTTCTTGACCCTTGGGAATCGATCTTAGGATATCTGCAGCATCACCTCGTAAAGAAGCAGTTAAGGAAACAGCTTTTTCTTGTTCTGTCCAATTATTGGCTGTCGCAATATCTTCAAATTGTCTAATGTATATGGACCAAGAGGAATTTCCATCAAATGGTGGAATTTGAATCTCACATGATGTGTCGTTTCGTCTCTCGGTGATTCTTCTTTTACTACTGGATCTAAGGCTACTTTATTAACTGGTGGTAGCACTTTTGTGTTAGTTATCATGGTCTCTAATTGTTTTTTCTGTATCTTATCGAATGTTCTTGAGACTTCTTGAAATTTCTCATTGTTTTGGTTACATACTTCGTCGAATCTTCTAGACATATTTTCGAATTTCTCGTCGTTTTTTCTAGCTGTTTCTTTAATAATTTGAGAAGTTTCTTCAATCATTTGCCATTTTGCCAAATTGTGGCATTTAAATACCACTTTATATATAAATTATTAATATATAAATATTAATATAAATAAATAATTATTATATAAATTATCCTGTGGTGAATGCCCGGTGACCTATGTGGGTAGAACAATGCGACCTTTGGATATACGCATCAAAGAACATCTGTCTAAGATTGATAAATCTAGTTTTGGGAATCATATACATGCTTCAAAGCATGGCTTTAGTCCTCATAGAGATAGCAAGATCCTACACAGTATACCCAATAATAATTATATAAAAATGAATTTACTAGAAGATCTTGAAATCAGTAGAGAAATGAAAAGGAATCCTCAGAATTGTGTCAACACTCAAATTAATTTAAATTGTAAGTTTGATCCAATCTTTAAGAAGTTTCTTTAATAATACACTTAGTATAAAATTAACCATCATTTGATCAAGCATTGACCTTTATTTTTAAAAAAGAGATTTTAAAAAGAGAGAATTTCTTATACTTTCTTTCATTGATTTCATCTACATAGAGAATGTTTGATATTTTCTTCTTCATTATTTATTTTATTAATAATATCGATAATCAAGAATAGCTGTTGAACTCTTAACTTAGCAAATGATACTTCTCCTTGGTTGGTTTTCATCTACTTTCTTCTATTTGGTCAAACTTTAAAGTTTTGTTTTTTGATAATTTTGATAAATGTATATTTAAATCTTCACGTTAACTAATCAATTTAAAATATTTAAATTTAAAATTCTACAGTAGCTAAAATTAATAATCAATAACCTTCAGACGTCATTTTAGACATTTTCAATTTTTAATTAATAATTTAAATACAGAGGTCGCTCTAGGATTTATTTCCGTATATCCGAGCTTCCTATTTCATTTTCATTTTACTTCAAAAATGTAAGTCAAAGACAGCTGTTGTCGTTACTGTATGTGGTAACCATGTTTTTATAAAAACTTTTTAAATGTGAATTATACATATGTATAAGGGTTAGACCCAAGATCTGTGGCCTACAGAGCCCGATCTTTGAATTTTAATATGTCGTTTGTGCACAATTGTCCTTCTATGAAGTATTTATTACCTAATTGACGTAAGTTTTTTCTATCATTGTATTTTATATAAAAAATTTACTTAACTTAACGTTATTTTAGGATAGCTCTGATGATGACATTTATTATGTCGAAAGTATACTTAGCTTAATTATTAAACTATTTTACACACTATCAATTTTATTGAAAACATACAAAACCAGCTTACCAGTTAGACCTATTTAGAAGTGTGTACAAGTCTTACAGTCTTTTTCAATTCTATTAGTAAAAGCCTAAAGCAAGGCTGCTGCATAGCACCTACACTCTTCAAAATATATCTAAATGAGGCACTCTCACTGTGGAGAAGAAAGTGCTGCAATATGGGCATCCCAATCGGAGATGATAGATTGTACACGATACATTTCGCTGACGACCAAGCCATTCTAGCTGAAGACGAGAGTGATATAAGCTACATGCTTAGAAAACTGGAAGATGAGTACACCAAATGGGGCCTCACAATTAATATACAAAAAACTGAGTACTTAGTTGTAGGAGAAAAACCAGAAAGCCTACAAATCGAAATGGGAACTATAAAACCAACAGACAATTTTAAGTACTTGGGAGTCCAAATAACATCAAAAGCAGGAAGTAGCGAAGAAATACATTCCAGGATTGGCCAAGCAAGATCAGCCACCAGACAGCTACACGGACTATTATGGAATAAAAAAATAACAAAAGAAAATAAAAGAAGAATTTATAAAACAATAATAGAAAGTATTGGACTGTACGGCGCCGAACTCTGGGAAATAAACCAAAGAAACAAATCAAAAATTAAGGCCATGGAAATGAACTACTGGAGACGATGTTGCCAGCTCACTAGACTTGATAGGGTGAGAAACGAAGATATTCGGAGAGAAATGGAAATCGATCTAGACATAATAGACACAATCGAAGCCAAAAGACTTAACTGGTATGGACACCTTCAGAGAATGCCGGAAAATAGATGGCCAAAAAAAATAGAAGAATGGACTCCGCCAACTACAAGAAAACGAGGTAGACCAAGACGATCCTGGAGAGACGATGTCGACGATGCAATGACCGCCAGAGATCTAACAACTGAAGATTGCTTCGACAGAAAACGCTGGAAATTAGGATGCGAGAAGCGGCGCCAGCTGTAGAAGACTCGCTTGTTATATATATTTATTTATTTGATTACCTGGGTTTATTTGGCCTTTTGTCAAATTCAAATTAATTTACAATTTGTTTAGTAAACAAAAAAGGGTAAATTAAGCCCATACTTACTTTTATGGTAGTGTACTTAACGAACAGCTGGGATAATTATAGCTTTATACTGTACGGTACAGGCTGCCGTGCCTGAATTCACGGTGTGTTTATCTTATTATTTATTATTTTATTTATAATAACCTCTACACAGTACAAAAAATAGTTTTTTTTAATCACGATGGCTTATTCATAAAAACTAAAATTTGAAAATTTGAGGAAAGAATATTAAAGATTTCAAATTAATGACGTGCTTGTTATGAGACGCTACTTAAAATTATCATTTTAATGTTTAATCTTAACCAAATTAGGAGAAATGTGAAAGTTGTAACAAGTCTTATTATCTTGCATAATTAAGCTAAAAACAAAAAAAACAATTATTTTTATAGTTTTTATTGTATCTATCTAATTCTATTTATAGTACACAACCACTTCTTTCAACAAGTTCCTTTGGACATTGTACTTGGGTAAATGTCACCTCGGGGTTAGAAACGCCTTCCATAAATGTAAACCTCCACTTGCATCCTGACTGTAAAACTTGGGGAAGTTCGTTACACTCCTCTTCACTATGAACTCCTCCGTATAGGTCACCCCAACCTGTACTTGGAGCGTTCCACTGAGCCGTACAACCTTGAGGGAATAAACCTACTCCACCTAAAACAAATGCGATAGTTAGTTATAATATATAAATAAAATGATAAACTGTTTATGCAAGATTTTCGAAAGCTATATATTTATATATAGAAATTATAAAAATACGTTTATTGACGTTTCAATTTCCACTTCGGAAATCGTTCTCAAAATACAAACAGTAAATTAAACAAATTTTGTTTTTTGTTACATAGTGAAAAATTCTTCTAATAATTTAATTTTATCTGACTCATTTATATTGACAATTCAGACATACATTATGCATTTTAAAGTAGACGACTTTAAAATGATATTGCCAATATTGTTGAGTTGCGCTCCTGGGACGACTTTACTTATAAGATAGTTCATTCGATTACATGAAATCAACTTTAACTTGAGAATATCCGTCAGAAAAAATCATAGCATGTAATTCGTCTTTAAAAAGACAAACACATGACATGATGACAGTAAAATTCTCCTGTTAGTGATTCCATAGTAAATTATGAGGGAAAACCAGGAAAAAACCTCATAATACTATCCCGACATTGTAAGTATTTGTTCGTGAATTTAGTTTACCTTCAACAAACATCAAAATTCTGATTTATATTATGAGGTTTTTTCCTGGTTTTCCCTCATAATTTACTATGGAATCACTAACAGGAGAATTTTACTGTCATCATGTCATGTGTTTGTCTTTTTAAAGACGAATTACATGCTATGATTTTTTCTGACGGATATTCTCAAGTTAAAGTTGATTTCATGTAATCGAATGAACTATCTTATAAGTAAAGTCGTCCCAGGAGCGCAACTCAACAATATTGGCAATATCATTTTAAAGTCGTCTACTTTAAAATGCATAATGTATGTCTGAATTGTCAATATAAATGAGTCAGATAAAATTAAATTATTAATATATTGCCATACCAGCAGTAATTTTTCGCATTTCGTGATACTTAATCCGTTAACAAATAGGGAATCTGTGTATCATTTTCAAAAGAGGATTTAAGTCACCAGAATTCCTAGCTATCAACTCTGGATACGAATTAAAAACTACAATATAACTGTGATACCACTGTACTCTCCTCATAGACGTGTTTTAAAAAAACTATAATCATTTAATTATGAAACGAGGGACAAAGATCTTTAGATCTGATTTTAAAACAAAACTCTTTATTAAGGTTCCACGTTAACAACAACAAGATTCAAACAGTTACTAAAAGAAATGATATGAGTAAACTATGTAAACAAGATATAAACTCTAATAGAAATTTTAGTGATTATATCAGTTGTAATAAGCGGCATCTAACTATCTAGAAGTAGAAGATAGAACGTATACCATACGATATTCAACTAGTTGCTTCGGATATCACACCAGCTATTACTACCAGAACCAAAGAAAACAAATACTCAAAAGAAAAAAATAACCTAATAACCACAAAAAGAATATTGTGTTGTGTTTGCCAACAAACTCTGAATTTTGCATACGAACTGCACTTGATGCTACTCTCATTTTAAATATGAAATCAAACACCTAAAATAAGATTTTCTAAACGGTTACCTTAGTTGAATCATTACTGAGAAGACTATCTATCACTAGCGATAAAACGCTATAAAAAACTCAAAAGATCAATTATACTGAGTGCTTCCATTAGAAATAGCCATGAAGTAAAATCCGCAGTAATAAACAAAAAGTTAAAATATGTGCAGATTATTTAGAAAGTACTTTTCAACCACATTATGAAAAATAATTTCATGAACTTAAAATAAGTATTGAAATACGAACAATTAAATCACTTTAAGAAACCCTTATAGAAGTAAAATCTAAAACAAATCCAGAATACCTATGTATCCAAAAATTCTAATATCTGGACTTTAATTTTATTACTTTTTTATCTCTTGAAGAAAATGGTCACAAAAACCCTTTCTTTTCGTTAGCCCTTTGTTTTAAACGTGTCATACTACAGCCAATTAGCTACTTTTATATCTTTTATTTATCCATAATACCTATTTCATTAAGTTCTACTGCTTTTTAATAGCATTCTATTTTATCAGATTATCTTGATTACAAAAATGTGGAACTTTCTATATACAACGTTTTATAACTATTTCTATTCATATTAGTAGAGTTCAACAATGTTAATGTGCAATATTTCATAAACATTAATCTTTTTAAATGTGATCTTCGAGTAGGTAGATAGTAAGTAGAATGTTCAATCAGTAGATCGTTTACACTTTTGTGTATGAAATGGATTTTTACATGAATATTACTTTGGGGTTTTCATATTTTGTCCAGTGCTTATGCTGTGGGACATAAGATGAGAATTTAAAAAATCTTAATTATAGAAACTTACCTCCAGGGATACCGAGATCAAATTGGTTCGTCTGATATTCTACACCAGAATTAGTGACTTGAACCAAAAATTGCTTTCCTTTCAGCTGACCTTCAAAATTAAGTAACATGCAAGAACAACACATGCTATAGTCAATACCTCCGGTAAAGGAAGCGGAAGCAAAACCATAAGATAAAGTGGAGTTAATAATAAACGGTTGGTTGTTGTTACATGTAAAAGCACTACCTTTATCACATCCTAAAACAAAAAGTTGTTGATTTAAAAAAAATATATATATATTTTAGAACTTGCTTACCAGAGGCATCATTAGCTGAAGTCACAGTTTCTCCATCACTTTTACACGACTTAATAGGTTTCTTATCGGGCGTGTCGATATTGTCTACCCAAGCACATGACGGTTTGCAGCAATCCCAGTATCTAGTGGTAATTCCTTTTCCGCTTAAACCATTGGGAACTTTGATGATATCTGGAGAGACTTCACTCTTGATGGTTGTTGCTAAAAAGTTACACTTTTATGTATTGTTTATATGAACGCAATCTATAGTGTGATTACTCTTATATTAGGGCATATTATATGAGTAGTATTGAATGAGGAGAGAAGTACTAAAATGGTGAAGTTATTCTTGTATTACGAGAATACTATACGCGTAGACTAAGCTGGATTTATAGTTTGACGGACTGTAGATGTAGACGCACTGGAGACGTAACAAACGGACTGTAAATATTATTTCAGTTTATAAATCGAAGGAGTGGAATTTTTGCGCATGAGTAGAAACAGTGGCTAGAGTTGGTGACCATGATACTATAATATTATTTTATTATTTATTATTATTATTTTATAAATTCTTAACGTCCATTGTAACAAATAATCAACAAAATCAAAATTCGAATATGTTAATAAGCAACTTTACAAAATGGTGGGCTGGCCAGACAGTTCACTTTGGTTGACAGCACAAAATTCTTCCTTTTGATTGACCAGACGCAAGTAACGCACTGTAAAAGATGAAAGTTGGCCAACTCTTTCGTTGCAGTGCGTTTCACTTACGTTCCGTCAAGTATTTACGTTCATTTATAAATAAGAGTACACAAAATTCTATGTTGATCTTTTTCCAGTGCGTCTACGTTTACACATGATAACTATGACTAACAAGATAGGATCTTCCCGTAGCACAAAATCGGTCGAGTTCGCGCATGCCGTCATTGGAGAGTAGAATTTGAATTCTTGTTAAAGTTAAATGGTATTTGTATGCATTCTGGTGATGAAATTACTAGACGAAAATAAGTTAAGAGGTTTAATAATTACAATAATCGTACACATAAGGATATCTCCAAACTATTTATTAAATATTATTTGTTGATACATACAAAAAACTGACATTTCGAAAGTGCTACTCTCCAATGACGTCACGACTTATGCGCAATATCTTATCGGCTTTATAGTACCATAAGCAAAATTTTTGGACAGTTCAATGAACATTGTAATTTGACAAAACTGTATATATTTACAAACTTCAAATATATAGTACTTAGTCAAAAACACAAAATTCAAATATATATATATATATATATATATATATATATATATATATATATATATATAAAATATTCATATAATAGCATAGTGATCGGTCAATAATAGGAAATGAAATCGTCAACTACTTCATTGATTTAATCGAATACGTTTCGCTTTTAGTTTTCAAAAGCGAATATAAGTACTCACGTTCGAAGAAAAATGACACAATGACATTGCAATATACAGCCTAAAACCGATAGAAAACATTCCAAGAGATTATTGTGTTGGGTCGTCGAAAGAGCTTACACCCACATTGAGATGAAGCCATCGGTAAAAATTAAATAAACAATAGTGCTGTTTCAGTTTTTTCCTGTGTGTTTTTTGTTTCGATTCTATCGTTTAGTTTTTAAATTTTTTAATGTTAAGTTATCGTAGAGTGTTTTTAACATCTTTTACAAAACCTACAAATTGTTTTTGTAAGTATGAACCCTTTTGGTTATTTACTTATATTTTACATCGTTTTATTTTTATTTGTAGTGAACTGATGATGCTTTTGAAAACTAAAAAGCGAAACGTATTCGATTAAATCAATGAAGTAGTTGACGACTTTCATTTGCCTATTATTGACCGATACAACCTCTGCTATTCACTATGAATTTTTAAATTTCAACGGTCGATTTTTGCTAATATATATCTAAAATATACATATATAATAATATATATGTATATATATATATATATATATATATATATATATATATATATATATATTTATATGTATATATAAATATGTCCGGTGTATCCAATTAAGTCGGCATCATATGGGAAACTTTATTATTATCTAATAATATTACGAAAAAGTTATTCTTTATAAAAACTAGGGCATGGCCTAAAACCTAAGATGCAACCCTCAGATATCAAATTTTATTAATATTATACGAGGTATGTCAAAAAGTATATCGAAAATTAGTGGTATGAAAAGTTATTTGGAATTGAGAACTATATTTCAAGCTGTACTTATATCCTATTTTCAGCACAACTTTTTATAAAGAATAACTTTTTTTTTTGTAAAATTAATAATAAAAAAGTTTTCCATATGATGCCAAGTTAATTGAAGGGGTCAATGCAAAAAGTAGCTATGTCCATATTTTTCTAGAATTGAGTTAAGTAGCGACATCTATATAAAATTATGTGTACTATAAGCTGGCAAAGTCAGATTTCTAATAAAAAGTGTCTTACCTACTGAGTAAAATCCCATATCTTAAAATTTTGATCAATCATAATTTCAGTGCAAGAAGTTGCTAAGTGTAAAAAAGTGACCAAGTCTATGGACTTGACAACTTGTTGCTACTGACACAGAGATTCTTAACCTGCAAGTTTGTTGATGAAATAGATTCACTTGTAACTTTGATCTGCGAATTTTTTGGCAGTATACGAAAGTATCGTAGAGAAAAATGTCTGATTTTGGTAAGAATATTTTCCATATTATTTATGATATTATATTAAAAATAAATAAGAAGTTTAAATAAATGAGAAATACAATATTAAACAATAAGCGTAGATTAGTAAAAATAAACTCAGAGTTACACAACGAGCCATGGAACGTGCAATGCTGAACGTGAGCCTTCGAGACCACATAACAAACCAACAAATTAGGCAAAGATCAGGAGTTCAAGACGTCATAGAAAAGAACCACGCCGCTTAAGTGGAACTGGGCAGGGCACTTAGCCAGAGCACAAGATGGACGGTGGACAAGACGTATTATGGAATGGAGGCCCAGAAACTATAAAAGAAGCCGAGGACGACCACCGACTAGATGGACCGATGGTATAAAACGTGTAGCAGGAACCTGGCTACAAGCGACCCAGTGTAGAGGAAAGAACTGGACAACACTGGAAAGAACTGAGGGAGGCCTATGTCCAGCAGTGGACCCGATTGGCTGATTGATGAAGTAAAAATAATGATTTTAAGGTTATTTGTTTAGTAAAGTACATTTTTTATTTTAGAATCAAGTAGTTAGAGTGAAGATGTAACCTCGGGAAATGAACATGATTCTCACGAAGGCACTTCTCGCAATAGTTTACCTGCGATGGTTAGTGATTTACATAGCAGCAAAAATGAAGGAGACGTAGAACCAGAAAATGTAATCTATAACTTTGTTTCTGTTTGAGGGAATTCCGAAAATTTCCATTCTGTCTCAAAAAGAAAGAAACGGCTTAGAAAGATCTTTAAAACGTAAAAGTCGTTTTACAGAAAAGAATACACGACATGAAATTGAAATTTGTAGGTGTAAGTGTCCAACTTTCCGAAATACAGGTGCATAATAAAAATAATTGATATATGCTAATACTAAACAAAAGACAAAATAAATCAAAATTAAAAATAGGTGTTACGAAGTGGAAATATGTTATGAAGATAAACAATATAAATATTTATTGTACTAAATAATAACTTACCCACAGCTAATACTAAAAATATAGGTAAAGGAATCATCTTGTAGTATATAATGTTATTATTGTGGTTTAAGCTATTTATAAGAAAAATGAGAATTATCTTGAGTGTTTGAGCAGAATTATCTTTATGTTTTGAGATGTGTTTAAGTGCAAGCTTTTGTTTCAACTTCAAGATATAATCAATTTATTGAATTGTTTTACAAATTATCTTAAGATTTAAGAATCTTAATATTTCAATATATGTATCAACCTTTTAAAATTTGATTTATATAATATAAGTGGGTTTGGAAAAAGTTTTTGAAGTATATTAGATACGTAATAATTATTTATAACCGGTAACAAAATTGTAGACCTTACAAGTTTTTTTAAACATCTCTATACTACCGGAAAATCTTCAATATTTTTTTTCATACTTCTTCCAATAATGGTGTTTCGTACAAGGTGACTTATTGTTTTGGCTTTGCCTCAACAAGCGTACACTTATTTTATTCTCTCTTGCATCATACATCATTGTTGACAGACATAGACTAAATCCTAAAAAATCCATCCTTAATTTTTCCTTTTTTCACAAGGAAAATTTTCAGTTGCCATATAGAATTCATTCAGACAAGGTCTAAGACTCAGCAACAACCCCTATTGGGAGTCTTACGTTACCATGCATGGTATGCATAACATTTTCAACAATAATGTAACACATAATAAATTTTGTAACTTTTTACGGATTTTTACCGATAATTAGTGGCTTGACTCATGAACGTATATTTGGTAATAATACACATGGATGATGGGTTTTTTTAGTCTGAAAATGTTTTGTGATGTAGCTCAAAAGAGCGTTTTTAATTATATTCGTTTTATAAAAGATTTCTACATAAACCTTTTCCTTTTTTGTCATTCCACTTATCCATCTAAGCAATGTACATTATATGAGATTGTTCCTTTTTCTGTAATTTGCTTTTATTGCATACAAGTTGTGGTTGTCTTAACTATGTTTGTGTCTTTTCGGTTGTACTGACAGTACTCCATGTTCCGTTTTTTAGTTTCTTTTGAATTGGCCCACATATGCATTAAATCACCTCCTCTTAAATATCCATAATTATATTTTCTAATATGCCATAGCACACTTTTGATGTACTCTGATTACGAACAACTAAACATGCTAACAGATGCGCAAGACAATGCAAATGTAAGGTCTAGAAGTTGTTTAGACATAGAAGGTCAAGAACAGATGCGTTAGGTCACTGGCCACTTTATACCGCTAAAGAAAGATGTAGATTTTATATAACTGGCAATACAAGAAATGACACGCATGAAACTAAATATTCTGGGAATAAGTGAAATGCGTTGGCCAGTTTCAGGAACCGCAAATATCGGGGAACACCGCGTTTACTATTCTGGAACAGATAACGGCAAACATGAATTGGGCGTCGGCATTATACTGACACAAGAAGTGGCAAAATCTGTTGACAACTTTATCCCAATCTCAGCAAGAGTGATGCTCATACAGCTAAAAGCAAGACCAATCAACATCAA